GTGTGTGTGTGTGTGTGTGTGCGTGCGTGCGTGCGTGCGTGCGTGTGTGTGTGTGTGTGTGTGTGTGTGTGTGTGCGTGCGTGTGTGCGTGCGTGTGTGTGTGTGTGTGTGTGTGTGTGTGTGTGTGTTGTGCGTGTGTGTGTGTGTGTGTGTGTGTGTGTGTGTGTGTGTGTGTGTGTGTGTGTGTGTGTGTGTACTTATCTAGTTGTGCTTGCGGGGGTTGAGCTCTGGCTCTTTGGTCCCGCCTCTCAACTGTCAATCAACAGGTGTACAGGTTCCTGAGCCTATTGGGCTCTATCATATCTACACTTGAAACTGTGTATGGAGTCAGCCTCCACCGTGTGTGTGTGTGTGTGTGTGTTTTGTACCTAATAGGCCAAGTTACCTAACAAGCCGAATTTCCATAAAATATTACATATTTCACAACTTCTTCTTGTGGAATAGTGAAGCTTTGCATGACATATGATTTCATTTTGTTTAATCTGAGTTAAAACATTTGATCAAACCCATCCTAACCTAAGTCAGTAATTCATGCTCTTAATATCATATAATAATGTTAATTGGAATCAACCAATTTGGAAATTGTTGAAAATAAAGAAAATCACTGATAGGTAAATCGGGTCATGCATACTTGGCCAAGTAGTGGCTATGCATTATATATATATATATATATATATATATATATATATATATATATATATATATATATATATATATATATATATATATATATATATATATATAGAATGTGATGGTGGTGCCCAATAAATTACTGTCGTTTATTGGAAGTAAAATCACTTGGCAGAGGCAGTGCCAGTGTCAGAACGAGGGGTGTGGGGGGAGGGGGGGGGGGGTAGAAACAACAACACTATAGTGGACTATAAGGTGGTCAGGGTCGGGGAAAGTGGTTAGTGCCTGGAGTGGTGGTAGTGGTACCCTCCCCCCCCCCCCCTCGCCACACTCATTCACCTCCACTGACACTCTCCCACCACTGGCACTTTCACACCACTGGCACTCTCTACAACTCCCCCCCCCCCTCCCCTGACCTCCACCTCAACCTTCCTACACCTCATGACTGGTAATCTCACTATCAAGCTCCGTGTGTGGCCGGCATGGTGGCTCCGCCTCTCCTCCTGCTGCCCCCACATCACAACCTGAATTTCTAAAATGTTTCCTGACTTCACGCTAGCAATACCCGCTCGCAACACTGTCTCGCTCACACACACACACACACACACACACACACACACACACACACACACACACACACACACACACACAGTGGTGTGTGAGTGATGTGGTGGAGGCTGACTCCATACACAGTTTCAAGTGTAGATATGATAGATCCCAGTAGGCTCAGGAACCTGTACACCAGTTGATTGACAGTTGAGAGGTGGGACCAAAGAGCCAGAGCTCAACCCCCGCAAACACAACTAGGTGAATACACACACACGTACGTACGTGTGTGTGTTCATAACACAAAGAGTGAGGAGGGAAGCAGAGAGACAGTATTAAAATGACATCGCGAGTAAAGCCAAGACCCAACCAAAGCTGCTCCACAGCCACATCAGGAGGAAAATTTATCGGGGGAATTGACAGGGTGGACAAAGACAAACTCACGGGTGTTCAGCACGGGTGGAACACGAACAAGGAGACACAGGTGGAAACTGAGTACCCAAATAAATCACAGACATTAGGAAGAACTTTTTCCGTGTCAGATTAGTTAACAAATGGAATGCACTAGGCAGGGATGTGGTGGAGGCTGACTCCATACAGTTTCAAAAGTAGATATGATAGAGCCCAGTAGGCTCAGGAATTAGTACACCAGTTGATTGACAGTTGGGAGGCGGGACCAAAGAGTCAAAGCTCAACCCCTGCAAGCACAACTAGGTGAGTTCGTGTCAAGCAAAGTGTCAAGAGTCAGAGGACTCTGTCATTCGTGGACATGCATAAGACGACCCCCTCGAAGCATGACTAGAAACCCATCTATTCTGGTATTCACCTGGAGTTTACCTGGAGTCAGCTCCGCGAGTTATTCTACTGACCAAGCCGCAGCCTGGGGAGAAGCTTGTCTGGTGTTAACTTGATCTAAGGCGCTGCCTTGATCTCTTCACCTCACACTTGATCACGTTCCTTGGTAAGCCTTAAGTGTGGCGGAGAGACTGCCAATATCCATGTTATGAGGGCGTGTTAATACATATATTACACCTTCAGTGCTTCATAAATATGTGTTGTTTCATGCTATGCTCCACCACTCTACTCAACTTGGTGAGGAATACTGTGCAGTCTCCAGCACTCTCCAATCTCCATCACTGCCCAATCTCCATCACTGCCCAATCTCCATCACTGCCCAATCTCTATCACTGTGACTTTTGACATCATACGCTCACCATTTTCCAGTAGCAGAAGTCGTCAAACATTTAAGCTGGTTCCTTATCTTGAGGTTATCTTGAGATGATTTCGGGGCTTTTTAGTGTCCCCGCGGCCCGGTCCTCGACCAGGCCTCCACCACCAGGAAGCAGCCCGTGACAGCTGACTAACACCCAGGTACCTATTTTACTACTAGGTAACAGGGGCATAGAGTGAAAGAAACTCTGCCCATTGTTTCTCGCCGGCGCCCGGGATTGAACCCGGGACCACAGGATAGATGGGTGGGGGGTTGGGGCAGGCTACATTCCTTCATTGTGACTGACATTTTTCCCCATCAAATGAATTGGGTGCACTTAGGCACTTCTCACGCCACGTGGAGTGAGAAGTGATTTCAAATACAGGAGCTGTATGCACTTTTGGCCTGACGAGCTCAAGATAAAACTAGCCACGGAACTCGTGGTTTCGCATTAATGGTCACGCCGAGCACAACTGTTTCTACTGGCTCAGACAATGGTCCATTTTCCCACGAGAATGTCGCTTTCTCGATCGTCTACGTGAATGTGTAGTTTTGTTGCAAAAGC